ACAGTGAATCACAGTTTGTTGGTACGGGGCTGCATAACATTATGACCACCAGGGTTCCCAGGTGGTCATCAGTTTGTCTGCTGCCCTCAAGTGGACAAAAAAAAGGTTAATTTAGATTTAAAGAAAAGTGTTGTCCACAGTTAGAACCATGTCTCCTACAAATTGCATTTATATACGACCTGTCTGGATTACCTTGGCAGGGAAGTGCTACATATATCTACTGCAGAGGTTTTCAAAGTGGGAGGCGGACCTCCCCAGTGGGGCTCCAAACAGTTTCACCGTTTTTCAAGCTTTATCTGAAGATAGGCCCACAGTCTTAGACTTTGGAAACCCCTGATCTACTGCATAGGATTTGTAGTTTAGGTTACAAAAAAGGCACTTTAAAGCATGTAGCGTCTCCTGCTTAAAAACGTAGTTACTAGGAGACAAGGATGACAGTTACAGCCTCATGATTTGCTTTCCCAAGCTCAAATCAAGGAGTATTCTCCAGCGACATCAGACGAAAATACATGTAACCAAGGTGGAGAGGTGTTTCCTCTTCGGAGCACTAACAAAGGCTCACCTCGGCTGCGGCACTGTTCCAGTGGCTACTCAGCATTAATCTTTCATGGGCCTCTGTGGCAGACGTGTTCCCTTCTGCAACCATACACACACAAGCAGATAATTACAACACTTATTTAAAGGATTTGAAAATGAAGTACCTCCTCCCAGCTGTACATTTGCCAGTAATGAGTCAGAGAAATGGGAAAAGTAGTTTTCCAGCGTGGCCTCCCAAAACGCCATCATTTATCTTTATTTATCAGCTGCACCGCTTCATTCAAAGCCCTTTTGTTGTCATTTTTTGTGTTATCTTCAGTAGTTTTTTGTTTATTCTCTTCTCATTTATATTCTCTACTCCTCTGCAGCCGCAACTCATTTTCCCCATGAGGATCACTGAACTTTTATCAAATCACCTAATCTAATTTAATGATGTCACCTTTTATAAATATTTCAAATATTTGCGGTGAGACACAGTTTTTTCAGTATAGTATGAAA